GAAGAACGTCTGCTTCACCAGCACCTGAAGGACACGAGAGGCAGTGAGGAGGCGAGGAGACGAGGAGGGGGCGCCAGTCCTGCTTTCACATCTTACAAAAAAATCAAAGCGCTGGATGGCGCCCAAAAGCCGACTGCGGTGAATAACGCACGACTTGTTCCCAACCATCATGTGGTGTTGGGTCCTCGCTTTGAAGAGACAGCGCCCCGCATCTAACTCCTCCTTCTCCTCCCCCTCCTCTCGTCTCCATAAATAATCATCATCATCAGCATCGTCATTACCATCATCGCCGTCACCATCGTAATCATCATCGTCGCCGTCATCATCACGATCACCGTCATCATGATCGCTGTCACCATCACCATCATCGCCACCAGATTCGGCACATCCCTCACACGTTTCGTGGCCCCATTGGCAGCTCCACAAAAGTCCCCACGGGCACCGTCCACATGCGTCCGCGCCACCCATTTCGGCACACCCCCTCACACGTTTCGTGGCCCCACAAGGAGCTCCACCCAAAGCCCCACGGGCCCCGTTCACAAGCGCCCGCGCCACCCATTCTGGCACTCCCCTCACACGCTCCGTGGCCCCATAAGAAGTTCCACCCAACGGCCCACAAGCACCGTCCACATGCGCCCGCGCCACCAATTTCGGCGCACCCCTCACACGCTTCGCGGCCCCAGTGGGAGCTCCACCTAATGCCCCCGTGGCGCCGTACACATGTGTCCGCGCAACCATTTTCGGCACACCACTCACACGTTCCGTGGCCCCGTAGGGAGTTCCACCTAAAGCCTCAAGGGCACCGTCCACATGCGCACGCGCCACCAATTTCGGCGCACCCCTCACACGCTAGGGAGCTCCACCCAAGGCCCCAGTAGCAGGGTCCACGTGCGTCAGCGCCACCCATTTCGGCACACTCCTCACACGTTTCGTGACCCCATAGGGAGGTCCACCTAAGTCCCCAACGGCACCGTCCACATGCGTCCGCGCCACCATTTTCGGCACAACCTTCAAATGTTTCGTGGCCCCACATCAAGCTCCACCCAAGGTCCCACAGGTCCCGTCCACATGCGCCCGCGCCACCCATTCTGGCACACCCCTCACACGCTCCGTGGCCCCATAGGGAGTTCCACCCAACGGCCCACGGGCACCGTCCACATGCGCCCGTGCCACCAATTTCGGCGCACCCCTCGCAAGTATCGTGGCCCCATAGAAAGGGGGTTCCACCTAATACCCCTATGGCACCGTCCACATGCGTCCGCGCAACCAATTTCCGCAACTCCTCTCTCACGCTTCGTGGCTTCATAGGAAGCTCCACCCAAAACCTCACGGGCCCCGTCCACATGCGCCCGCGCCACCCATTCTGGCACACCCCTCACACGCTCAGTGGCCTCATAGGGAGTTCCACCCAATGCCTCACGGGCACCGTCCACATGCGCCCACGCCGCCCACGCCACCAATTTCGGCGCACAGCTCGCACGCTTCGTGGCCCCAGAGGGAGCTCCACCCAAGGCCCCAGTGGCAAGGTTCGCATACGTCCGCGACACCAATTTCGGCACACCCTTCAGACGCCTCGTGGCCCTATGGGAAGCTTCACTGAGGGCGATACCCACAACTGCGGCACTCACAACTGCATATGGTTGGGCCCTTCGCCAGGCCAATTGTTGAAGACATTAAAAGTCTGGGCAGGGACGAGGGAGGGGATCCCGGGTCCTGCACTGCCCTGGCGCGACAGCCGAGGACTCCGAGCTGGAAACGAAGTCCAGGAGTCCCGGATCGGCCACTTGGTGCCCTGACGTGGGCGCCCCGTGGTGGCCTCGTAACCGCCCGGTGCGCGCCCCCGTGAGCGCTCGTGGGCACCTCGTGCTGTCTAGCACACAGCTTGCACTGCACAGATTGCAGCACCTAACTCGCACCACGATGCCACATGGCTTGCACCGCATAGCTTACACCCCATAGCTTGCACGACCCAGCGTCACAGATATGACAACGCGTAGCTTGCGCCACGAGGCTTGCGCCACACAGCGTACACCGCACAGCTTGCGCCAGACAGTGAAGACCACGTGCACTACACCGCCGAGCTGACACAAGATCTCGATCTGCGTATATACACATATATACATACACATACCTGCACGCATACATTTGTTAGCCAGCGTGGGCCCGAGACTGCGAACTTCTAGAACTACACGATGTGCAACATATGTTGTGCAATATACGTGGGCCAAGTAGACAGCATATGGCATGCAACGCTTGCGGTGCAGTCTATGGTATGCATGCTTGCGTGGCGCTCGGTGATGAAATCCGTACGGGACATTACCCTGTGACGCACCCAACAAAGTTGCATCAAGTGGTAAGGGGAGTTGGCCCAAACTTGCCAGGACAATGACAATGCAGGCGCCGTTATACGTTGTGCAAGCTACATGGGATGCGCTCACGTGGCACGATTCACGGGAAATCAACAGCAGGACGAGGAGCCAGGGCCCAGACCGGAGAAGGACCCGCGCGGGCCCGACCCGTCAGCGCGGCAGCAGCAGAGGGAAGGTGGCAAAGGCCAGAGGACGACGACGACAATGACTTGAGGAGACCGAAGAGTGTTGTTTGTTTGTCGATAGTACGCTAAAATGCAGCGCTGGCTGCGCCATGCCGCCGCGGCGATCGACAAAATGATGAAGCCTGCGTATCGTCAGTGCAAGAAGCGAGCGAGATCTAGCTCGCCCAACAGCTTCCCTGCTTCCTTCCTGCACACTTCAGTGCGAAAGCTAAACGCTCCAAGGCGCGCCTCAGGTCTGCGGGCGGCCCGCGACAGCGCCCCGCTGGACCCCCAGCAGCCCTCGAAAGTGGTGACAGCTTCGCAAATCGCAGCCCTCCAGGAGTGGCGAGGTCTAATCTGAGTCTGGGTGGTGCCTCACTCCGCTGGACCGCTGGACCCCCCAGTAGCCTTGGAAACTGGCGACAGCTTCGCAGATCGCAGGCCCCCGGAGGTGGCGAGGTCGAAATTGAGTCTGGGTGGTGCACTCTGCTGGACCCACCAGTAGCCTTGGAAACTGGCGACATATTCGCAGATCGCAGCCCCCCAGGGGTGGCGAGGTCGAATTTGAGTCAGCGTAAGACGTCACTCCGCTGGAACTCCCAGCAGCCCTCGCAAGTGGCGAGAGTTTCGCAGATCGCAGTCTCCCAGAGGTGGCGAGGTCGAATATGAATATGCGTAGGACGTCACTCGCCGGACCCCCCAAAAGCTCTCGGAAATGGCGACACTTTCGCAGATCGCAGCCCCCCAGGGATAGCGAGGTCGAATAAGAATATGCGTGGGACCCCACTCCGCTGGCCCCCCGGCAGCCCTCGAAGGTGGCGACAGTTTTGCAGATCGCAGCTCGCCCAGGGATAGCGAGGTCTAATATGAATCTGGGTGGTGCCTCACTCCGCTGGACCCACCAGCAGATTTCGAAAGTGGCGACAGTTTCGCAGATCGCAGCTCCCAGGGATGTCAAGGGCTAATATGAATCTGGGTGGTGCCTCACTCCGCTGAACCCACCAGCAGACCTCGAAAGTTGCGACAGTTTCGCAGACCGCAGCCGCCCAAGGATGGCAAGGTCTAATCTGAGTCTGGGTGGTGCAGCCCCCATGAGATGTCAAGGTCTAATCTGAATCTGGGTGGTCTTACTCCGCTGGACCCACTAGCAGTCCTCGAAAGTGGCGACAGCTTCGCAGATCGCAGCCCCCCAGGGATGGCGAGGTCTAATATGAATCTGGGCGGTGCCTTACCCCGCTGGACCCATCAGCAGCCCTCGAAAGTAGCTTTCACAGATCGCAGCCCCCAGAAATGTCGAGGTCTAATCTGAATCTGGGTGGTGCCTCACTCCGCTGGACCCACATGCAGCCCTCGAATGTGGCAACAGTTTCACAGATCGCAGCCCCCCAGGGATGGCGAGGTGCCGTAGGACGGCGAGGCGAGGAGGCAAAAGGCAAGACAGCAGAGGAGGAGGGAGGAGAGGAGGAGAGGCCGGGAGAGGACGGAGACCGCAGTGCTCTATTCAAAACGAGAACCCAAACGCAGGAGGGTTGGGAAAAAAAATGTTGAAAGATTTCGGCATGCGCGCGACAACGCGCGCGAGTGCACTTCGTCCTATCAGTTACCAGGGATGATTGCGCAAACTGGTGATTTGTGATAAACCAATGCGCGCGCATAACGTTATCTGACGAGGATGAGCGAGGGCGCTACGGGTATGGCTGGGGTGCTCAATAGCTAGAGTGAAAGATGGGGCAGAATCGTGTTAAATTGCAAATCCCCCCCAGGGGGCGGATAAGTCGGGGGGGGGGGGGGGTGGCAGACCCAAATGTTTGTTCAAGGAATTGGTTTCAAGGAAAAAACGAATATGGTGTTGTGGCGGCGACGGAGACCACGGAGCCGCCAGACCGCCAGACGGGCCCACGCAACGGGCGGCAACGGGGCGGCGACGGCGACCACGGAGCGGCCAGACCGCCGGACAGGCCCAGACAGCGGGCGGCGACAGGGCGGCGATGGCGGCAACGGAGCCGCCAGACCGCCAGACAGGCCCAGTTCCGTAGAGCATACGCATAAATGTGTACAGACACACACACACACATATATATATATATATATATACAAGACTGCATTGGCGCTTCGCGCCATGCACCTTGGTCCTTCAACCCTTGCGCGCGTTGGCGTCTAGCGCGGCCCTCCACGGTCTTTGAACCGCGGTTGGTTCGCGCCCAGTTCCCGGATCTGCACCTTACTTGCTCGCGCCCTCGCTCTGCTGGTCCGCGCGCCACTGGGACTCCATGAGAATGTCCCAGCGGACCGATCAGCGGCGATGAGAGCGGCCGTGGAGGCTCCGGAAATACAAAACGTCGGACAGAAGGGGCGGGAAAGAAGTGGAGGACGATTTGGGGAGGCGCGGCGAAGGGAGGAACATCATGAGGTAAGGTAAGGTAAGGCACGCATTGGGGCGGCGTGCTGTCTCGACTTGCGCATGGGGGTGAGACAAACGGAGATGCCTTGC